GCGAGGGGCGTCAGCCATCAAGCGGGACGAACGAGGGTGGCAGCCATACCGCTATGCCGCTTACTATGGCCATCCAAGTGCGCTCCGCCTGCTCATGTCCTGTAGTCCCATGGTTGCCAAAGACGACGCGGATCTGGGCCTCACGGCAGAGCGAATCGGATTTGCGCCGTCTGCGGATATTTCGATTGAAAGGAAGCGGGAAGTACAAAGCTTATTATATCAGATGCAGCACCCGTCACAGCCAGGAGCCGAAGGCTCCCCGGTCTGGTCCTCTCCGCTAAAGCCCAACCAGCAGCACCCGGTACCTTCTGGATTCACGTCTGATACCGCCGTATACCATATTCAGCCGTCTCCTACAGCAGAAACGAGTCCTCAGGAGCTACCCGGAACCTTAGAACAGGGGCTCCCGGCAAGCCGGTCTCAAACGCCAGAACATATGCGGCGAGGAAGTAGCGTTTATCAACGCATAGACTCTGAATTTCGCGACGTCCCGCAAATTCTAGAGGCCAATGAGCGGGCCTTTGCCCCAACCAATGAACAGATTGCGATGCCTCAGGCGCGACATTACTTTGAAGTGCCCAAGGGAAATCCTAATCCAGGCAGCCCGTTCCCGGAAAGTGTGTTTTCGCATGCGAGCGAGAGGGCTGGTGTCCGCGCCACAGACTCTCCTGTCTCTTTGACAGATGTGCATGGGCTGAACCCTGCACGCGCATCTTGGACAGTACCCCTGAGTCATGCAGATGGGGAGGCTCAGAACAAAGAAAGAGAATGGGACACGGAGTCTTCTATATCTTCAGTATATACTGCACCGGAGGAAGATGTGGCGGAGCTTGCCGCCTAGATTTACATCGGATAATATCACAATGTAGCTAGATCATATATCAGAGAGAGGCCTTACGGCCACCTCTATACGAGAGCTTCCTTTCTATGGATCAGATTGAGTCACTCCCGCACTTGACCCAAAAATAGCAGCAATATAAGCATATGGCATCGCATGGCATCTCATCGCCATGTGGCCGGGAGCAAGCCTTGGCCCATCAAAGTCAAAAAGAAAGACATGTCTCAGACTCGTTGATTATCTTCCGCAAGCCTTAGGCTGATTGCTCTAGTCAACCGCCAGGATGAAACGTGGCTGAGGATGACGATGGTTCATGCCTTTCAGCATCCAATCAGCCACAGCGAGAGCACCAACACCTATGTACTGTGTAGAATGACTCTCAGGGACGGAACAGCCTCATTGGCGCAACGGATATGCTGACGCAAATCCCTCCCTCTCTCAACTGCCACCTTAAAACCTCAGGCCGTGCGTATGATGCCGTGACGAAGTATAATCAGCTGACCTGACCTTATCCACAAACCATCCCGATAAGATAGATATCCATACCAGATGATAGGATGAAACCCAACAACTAAACCAGGCAAGACAAAAAAACCAACCCAACGCTAGTAGTAGTAAATAAGCCAAAAGGTCATACTATAACCTGAGTCATGCAATCAAGCATAAAAGCAGAGAGAGAGAAAAAAGCAAAGAGAAACAGTACCAAGCCGAATCCAGGCTCGGATTCCTCCCGTCTTATCAAGCATTTGGGAATCTTGCTCATACGGGAGGGAGGTATTGGTCCTGAGGCTTCGATTATATTTAGCACATTTTGTTGTTATTTATCTCGTTAGTTTAATTGCGACGGTAGCATTGGGGACTTTGGGGAGTCAGCTATCATCAATTATGAGGATGATGTGGGCCTGATCTGTTGTATGTAGTATTACTCGAGGGACTTTGGATTCTTCGTTTGGTAGTAATGGTGGTGGTAGTATGTTCTTGATGGACGATGTTGCCGGGGCTTAGATCAAGAGGTAGTACTTGGAGGTGTATATATAGAGGGTTCGTGTGTCCTGATGGATGAAGCTTGATATTATTAACTACTACTACTTGCTTAATATACTATAATACACTTACTATCGCTCGCTACTGCGTTTTCTTGATCAGTTAATTGATATACATCAACTCTTTGGGATTGTGATTGCTCTCTTCAATCCGTGCGGAATCTATACTATACATACACCGCTCTCTGCATCATATACATTATCGCCACCATCTATTATACAACTCTGATCAGACAAGATCATCACCATGGGCCGAGGAGGATACAACGCCCCCGAGACTACTGCGCCGAAGCCCGCGCAGCCGACTTCATCCTCTCGTTCTCTATCTCTCTCGCTGTCGCTGTCACCTCTTTCTTCTGGCCCGCTGCTCTTGCATGGCCGTGGCGGGTACAACGAGCAGCAACCCATCGCAGAGGCGTTGTAGCACACGACGCGTTATAGAGGATATCATCCGGATGGGAGAGAATATGTGTTTATTATTTCGATGATATCATGTATACCTCTTTCACTTGCCCACACAGAACCTATCCACTCGGTCAGCAACAAGAACAACAACAACACACATAAATACTACACATTACTGTATAAAACTTACTTTTCAAACACAACGCCCAGAACATCTTCCACGTCTCCGCTTTCCCCGCGACCCGTGATCTTCGCCATGGTGTCAGCGGCAGAGCGCAGATGTTCAGCGGCGGTGACGATATCAATGTCCATGTCCATGTCTGATTCTGGGTATTCATGAGCGATTTGGCGAGATGATGAAGGTATAGGCGTCTGGGATTGCGGTTGAGTTTGGGTCAGGAAGTCATCCAGGTGTTCGAGACATCGTTGTAAATTAGAGCTTTGGCGATGCGTCACGCCCAGTGAATCTTCCCAATATGCATGATCGTATTGTCCGTTCTCATCTCCATCGATGCCTGTCGGGGAGGCTATTTCCTCAAATGTAGTCATAAGACCTTGTAGGAATTGCTGGATGTAGCCAGGATCGGAGGACTGGCTGGGACCGGGGCTGGTTAGGTTCAGGCCGTTGGTGGCGTCTAGACAGGAGATGCCGAAGATGCGCTGGCGCAAGTCCGGGACCGCTTCGAAAAGCTGGCTGACTGTCTTGATGAGCTGCGGGGGAAGTTTACCCTCCGGTAGTCGGTCACATTTGTTGATGGTTACGACGACGCATTTGCCTGCGCGGGCGCAGTCGTTGGCAGCATCGACGACCTCCTGCTCGACGGCGAGGCGGTACGTTGCTGCACCATCGATGGCTTCTTCCACTGAGACGACCACAATAACCACGTCCGATTCCAAGGCACGAGCCTTGGCCCGTCTGATGCCCTCTTGTTCCACGGCGCCAATCACGACTGTCTTCTTCTGTCCGGTGGGATCGTTAGGCTCCGAGCGAATCCCCGCCATATCGCCGAGCTTGCAGTACCAGCCGCCAATGTCGACACCGACATCCACGATATCCCGCGTGGTGCCTTCCTCGGTGCTAACGATGGCGGCCTCTCTGCCCACGATCCGATTCAGAAGCGAGCTCTTCCCCGCATTCGGAGCCCCCAAAAGAGCGACCTTTATACCGTTACGAAGGAGCTCACCCTTCGACGCGTTCTGGATATGAAGGGCGATTTGGGCCCGCAGAGCCCGCACCTGAGCCGCAACCGAGGACACCAGGTCCTCGGTGGACTCGTCGAAATGCTGATCCTCCGAGAAGTCAATCAAGGCCTCCAGTTCGCCGCGCGCATAGAGCAATTGATGCCGCCATTGTTCGTACCGCTTCGATAGAGCATCGCTGGCACCACGGACTGCAAGTCGGCGCTGCTGCTCCGTGTCAGCGGACAAGGTATCACCCAGGGCTTCGATCTGCGGGAGGTCTAGACGGTTGTTCATGAAGGCTCGACGGGTGAATTCGCCCGGTTCGGCGTAGCGGACTGAGTAGTCGGGCGTGTTTGTACGCGAGATGGCTGTCAGAACGGACTTGACAATGGCTGGGCCGCCGTGGAGGTGCAGCTCGAGGACATCTTCGCCAGTTACGGTCTTCGGACCGGGGAAGTATAGGACTAGGGCGCCGGCGTCGAGGACGGTATTAGGGGAGGGGTTTTGAGAGGGATCGTACAGGGTGCGGACGACTGCGAGGCGGGGTCGGGGAAGGGGTGCTTCGGGACAGAGAGATTTGTAGATCTGTGTGAACGATTGCGGTTAGCTGTTGCTGTTGCTGCTGGGCTGGGTCTCCTTCAATGGCGGAAGTTAGCTCTCATACTTGCACACATGCAGGTCCCGATGCCCGCACAACGGCAATGGCAGCCCGTCCAGATGCCGTCGAAAGCGCATAAATGGTGGAATCGGCATCGAAGATAGATTGAGCCGGTGAGGACACTGAGAAGTATCGCCGTGGAGGTACACGCGGAGATGGGCTCCGGGCATGGAGAGCTGGACCAGCGCCCTGCCGGGCCACGGTGAAGCACCTACTCCATGATGGGCGGAGGGGTGTCGCCCACCGTAGGGTCCGGACGGCCAATGATCGCATACGCGAGATGAACCCGAACAGGCGCAATGAACAAGCGAAGAGCAATCGCTGGTTTTCGAGGCATGAGAGAAGGAGAGGCTCATCGAGGAGATTCGCCGCATCGCCGAGGTCACGTGATATCACCGCGGAGGAGGAAGTGGATTTTAGATTACGAAAGAATGCTGTAGTGTACGGCAGGTAGAATTCAAGAACTACAGTAGCAGCCTATGCAAGACAAGGTATTCATGTAGACAGATCCAGGAATCCAGTAGATGTATGAAAGCCAGATCACAAGGGCACTGCGCCCCTTCGCCACGCCTGCGCGCCGAAAAGACACAAAACCTCGGCCATGCGCCACGGATTCCTTCCCCGTAGCCCAAATGCAACAGCGGCTCGAACGACATGCAGATATAAACGGAGAATGAAGAAAAGAGCAGAGCGAAAGGAAGTATGTACACAAAGAAATGACCGGAGCAACAGTGAGAAGCAATGGATAAAGTAGAAGTATGAAGGGTGATTGGGAATCGCTGGAAAAAAGGGGAACAATGTACCTTCGAAGAAAATGCGGAGGGATGCCCGGAGAAAGGAAGAAATTCAGAAAGCCAGGCAAGCCAGAGAAAAAGGGGGTAAGTTCATCCTGGCATAGTATACACTCAAAACAGCATAATGAGATCTTTCCGAGACGACATGAGTTAGTCTATCAAACATTAGATTAGGAAAGAGGGGAGGAAAGACACTCCTTGAGGACAAGGAGGAAAGGATGCAAGATAAAAGAAAAAATGGGCAATGAAATGAAATCAATAAAAGAAGGATGGTAGTAGAAAGGCAATAGTTGCCCAACTACTCAATGGATCTGCTCGACGGTGAGCCTTCCATCAGTTCATCGTCACCAGGCGACCGAAGCTGTTGGTCTGCTGTTGGTGATACCACGATTGCCGGTGTCAGGGGCGGTTGTGGAAGGGGATCGTCTCCAGATCGAGGACTTGTAGCATCATCCGGCTCCAAATCTGTCCTGGGAGGCGAAATGGGTTCGGGCACGGAGGTGGCCGCAGAGCCCTCGGCGCTGTTATTGCTGGTGCTGCCTCCGTTTCGTCTCCGTAACCTGCGTTTCCGACGCTCTTCTTCCGCTGTTTCTCGGCGTCTTCTCATTCGGTCGCCGTCCATGTTATCGCGAAGGCCCTGCAGCATGCTCGCGGCACGATCCGCCACGTCTTCGCTTTCCGACACATGTTGCGGGTCCTTCTTACTCTCAGAGGTTTCTGTTTCAAGGAGGGGAGGACTCAGCAGCCCTGACGCGGCGGCATTTGCTTCGCTATCATTGTCGTTGCCCGCCTTGCTGTTGCCGCCATCATTTTCGGCTTCGTTCCCTCCTTCCGGTGCCTCAGCTCCAGCAACATCCGGCATCTTCTGGCCGGAAGCGACACGAACTTGGTGTCGCTCCTTTAGCCTAGCACGACGACGGCGGTCACGCTGGTCTCTGGCTTGCGGCGCAGCGGCGCGGAGCTTCTCCAGCAGCGAATCCATGGCCCCGCTTGTAGCTGGCGACGGTGGAGCGTCACTAGCAGAGGCGGCGCCATTAGCAAGCCCGGCATTGATATTCCGCTTGCGAGCCAAGGACGCCTCGGTGCGTCTCCGACTTTCTTCCAGCGAAATGTTCTTCTCCTTAGATTTCTGCACGATCATTGGTTAGCAAACGTTCTTAGATGATACTGGGCAATCAAACCCACCTTCCACTCAAGCAAGAAGGAAGCCAGTTTCGCGAAGAAGTCTCGGCGGGCACCCTCATCGGAATTGTCTTCTCCATAGAATACCATGATGTCATCATAGGATTTGATCATCTCATCCAAGTAGAGCTGCATCTGCTCGGCCTTGCGTCTAGCATCCTTCATACTCCGCTGGACGATCTGGCTAACGCGATCCTGGGGGTGGAACCTCTTGGGGTCACTGAGGTTTCCGGCGTCTAAGCTGGCCTGTACATTCTTGATGTTGTCAATGTACTTCTTCGCATCTGTCCGCAGCTGGTCGACGTTGAGCTTCTGGATAGCAACGACACCATTGATCTCGTCCACGAAGCCCTCCCATTCGGGATACTGGTTACGGACAATGCGCTCCACTAAATCAGCAAAAGTAGTTTCGTTCTTGTCATCCTTGACCATGCCCAGCCGGGCAAGAGAGCTCAGCTTGAATCCTTGAGCCTGCTTGTTGGCATCGTTCATGAAGTTACCAATGTCCAAAATGAGACCCAGGACGTTCATCAGAGAAACAGAGTCTCTCAGAGATTCGCTGACCTTGACCACTTGTTGCAGCTTGGCGGAGATGTGCTCATAATCCACTTCGAAGGACCGAGTTAACGCGAGAGCGCGCATTCTCGCCTTCCAGTAGTGGTTGAGCTCGTACGCGGTGTATAGGTAGATCTGATCTTCCCTCGTAAGCTCGTTGGGGTCTTGCTCTCGCTCCGCACTAGCAGCATCGGGGCCGGTCCAGTCCCTGCTGTAGGGCGCCATCGACTTGGAAATATTCTCCGGAATTGTGCACATCTCGTCCCGCTGCAGGAACTCCATGACGACTTGGTTGTCCAGAATGTCTGTATCGCAATGGATGATCATGCGCACCACATCGTCGGCAGGGAATTGCGAAAACTTGGCCATTGCGATCTGGAAGTTCTTGGACAGCTCGTTGGAGATGAGCTGTTTCTTGTCCTTGCGCTGCTTGGCTGCTGCATTGCCTCCAAAAATCTTGGTCTCCTTCGCCATGAAGAGTCTCTCAACCTCATCCAACACACCCTTCTTAGCCAACTCTACATACTTCTCTTCTTTCTCCTGCGCAGTGGGAGCGTGGGCCGCCCACACCGTTACCTGTGGAGCATCAACCTTCTCCCAGTGAAGAGCCTTGAGCTTCTTCTTTGGCCGGATAGAGGGCATAAGAGCTGTCTTGTGTTGAGGAAGGGCTTGAGAGGCCATGTAGTTGGCTCGCCATCCGCCAAAGCCTGCGCCAGGAGGAGGCGGGGGAGGAGGGGCACCAAATGAAGCACCTGGTGGAGGGGGAGGCGGTGGCGGGAATCCTGCACCGCCTGGAGGAGGGGGCGGAGGAGGTGGAGGGGGGATTCCAACCTTTCCTCCCGGCGGCGGCGGAGGAGGCGGCGGAGGGGGAGGGATTCCGACAGCACCACCAGGTGGTGGCGGTGGAGGGGGAGGGGGCGGAGGAGGAATTCCCACAGCTCCCGGAGGAGGAGGTGGTGGTGGTGGCGGCGGCGGCGGGGGTGGAGCGGGCGCCCCCTTGGTCTCGGGCTTCTCAATTTCACTCTCAACCTTGGGTTCGTCGGTGACAAGCGCCGTAGCTTCAGGGACAACAGGTGTAGCTTCGTTATCGTCTGCGTCGATCTTAGGTACCTTCGAGGCAATTTCTCCCAGGAGGCCGTTCGCCTGCTTAGGGTTGAGTCGTGGCCGATGGAGGTCGACCAGACGCGCCTTTTCATAGATGATCTCTCCGTTCTCATCCACCTGGCCCTCCTGCTGCTGACCCTCGACAGTATCCTTCTCCATGCCGGGCAGATGGCTGCGCTTGCGCTGAACAGATCCCAAGCCCGCAACGTGATGAGCCTGGTCCTGGAACTCATCTTGCGGCTCAACATCGCCGTCCATTTGCTCACGAAGTTCGCGCAGCCGGTCTGAGGTCACATGTTGACCCCATACCTTGCCCTCCAACTTGAACTGGGTCTTGGTGCGTTCGAGTTGCATCTCCAACCGCTCGAGGAGCTTTTCGCGGTCCATGATGCCCCTCATATGGGACGGATCGACTTCTGCGAGGTTGTTCTTCTTGGCATTTGAAGCAGCGATGTCCTGGGCATCTCGAAGCATCAGGTAGAGCTCTCTGGTTTCCAGTTCGTTCCGTTGCAACTCCTGAGCACGCAAGCGTTGAACATCGGCCAGCTCAGCCCGTACTGACTCCTCCCGTCTCCGTTGAAGTTCGATGATGCCAGTCTGCTCTTCAATTTGCTTCTGCAACTTCTTTACTAGGCCGTCTGCACCCAGCTCAATCTGCGCCTTCATCTCATCTCGCTCTGCCAAGGCAGCCTCCGCAATCTGGCGCGCTTCTAGGGATTCATCGTACGCCTGTCTTGCCTCTGAATCTGTATGTAATTTGTCCAAGAGGCTCTGCACGGTAAATGTTAAACCTTGGCGGAGATCCAGATCGGGTAGCCTGCGGTCCATGGCCACGTAGCTAAGCATGGCATCGACGAGCTGATACATCCGGAGACCATCTTCACCTGAGTTCTCCCGGATAAGAAGCATGTGCTGCATAGCAGAGAGGAAGTAGTCATGAGCTCGAGTACCTGTAATCCTTGAAGCAATAGCGTCTGTAATTTGTAGAGGATCGTTCATGTCTTTGACCTCGCCCTCGATGCTATCCTTCACGCTGCTACTCTCACGCTGCAGAAGATCCTCGTAGTCGATGGCCTCATTCTCGCGGAAGCGCTCAATCTGCTTGTCAATGACCTCATATTGGAAACCTTCCATTTTAGTCATGAGACGCTTGATGCCGCAAGAGGTGAACTGCGCACGAATATGACAGCGCAGCTGTAGATCGTTCTCCGGGGCGTCCACCAACATGTTGATGAGGAGCATGGTTGAGACGGCATACTCCATGAGAAGGTTCTCCATGCCTATACCACCACTGCGGTACTCCTCACTCGCGCCCACCAAACTACCCATCTTTCCACGGCCATCAATCGTCACTTCGACGATACGCATCCAGGCATCAAAGCGACCAGTCTCTCCATGGTGATTCTTCACATGGTCCATAGCCTGGAGGACCTTCTGATGGCCCTGGCCTTCGGCCCAATGGCAAAGGAAGGTCAAGACTTCACTGACCAGCTTCCTTGTATTGAGTCGGGGAGACAGCAGCGAGCTGACGAGAGCAACAATAACCTGCTGGTGAGCGAGAGCATCATCTGCGCCGTATTTGTTATTCATCAAAGCCTTCAGGCACTTGACAATGTCGTATTCACGATCCAAGTCCTTGTCACCAGTCGGGGGTGCAGGAACAGGACCTGAAGCTTTTCTCCGGTTGATCTTAGCAAGAACGTTGGTCAGGGCGATTTGGCCCTGTGCTTCGACAAAGGCTTTCACCCAACTGATTGGTTGTGTGCGCAGACTGACGCTCAAACTAGCTAATTGTTTCGACGTGATTGAATCATCCATAACCTTCTTCACGTACCACTCCGGGCTTCCCTCTTCATCGGCCCGCTCCAGAATCCCCGACGGCCCATCGTGACCATGGGTCTGCCGGGCATTCTGCCTGCGCTTCTGTTCACCTTGAATTTCCGTCAACCGATCTTGATGAACCAGCGTCCACTTTTTCGAGGCTGGATACGCAAGCATCTGCCGTTTGGCCTGCTCAGGCAAGTTCTGCCAACCTCGCTTCTGCATCAGTTCCAGGAACAGCTGGTCCACAATCCGATCGTCCCTTGGACGGGTCAGGTATTGCTCGGGGTTGGCTGGTAACTTCGCGGGTTGCGCAGGCTGGGCCGACTGCCATGCAGCCTGCGCATTAGAAAGTCGGCTGGATGTTCCATTAGACGAGTAGGTATTGCGGTCGGCAGAGTGCGAGGTTGTCAGCGTTCGAGAAGATCCGTCCGACGAGAAATAGCTCGAACCTCTAGTGTCCCGGGTGTTGGAGGAAAGTGACGAGTGGACACTAGCTTGGTCGAACGATATTCGGGAATGCGACGAGGAATCTACCGTAGATGAAGAGTTGTGACTGAACCCCGTGTTGGCAGCCGAGCTACCCGGTCGTCCCCATTGTTGATACCGAGCACCTTTGTCCCCCGAAGAGCTTCCCGCCATTGTTACATTAGACGCATGTGGCGGCGGACGAGGGCCGGTGGGGTGAGAATAAACATTATTGTCCCGGATAGTGGCCGGGTTCCAAGCGGGATACTGATGGAAATCACTGCCTCCCTTGGCAAGATGATTCGGGGATGGTTCTTTGCGTGGCGAGGTTTCGGCTTTAGAGAGATAGTCGATAGGAATCGGCGACTTGGTGTCGGCGGGGAGACTTTCATAGGGGATAGAGGTAATCACACCGGCCGTCATTGACAGCGTTGCAGGATCGACGTCGTTGGAAAAATCCATAGACTGGACGGAGGATCGCTTGGAATGGCGAGAGGAACGAGAACCCGGGGCGCTTCCAGGAGGCGCGAGGGTCTCGAAGCCTGTATGGGCATCGTGGCGATCGTCTACCGGTTTCTCCTTGTGCAGCTTCCTCCCGAAGAACGATTTCCCAGCGGAAGTCTGTCTCGATTTGTCAGGCGCGGACGTGGTGGTTGGCATCTTGACGGACGTCGCTGGGGAGATGCAGGGCGCAGCATGAGCGTAATCCGCTGGGGCAAGAGCGTGGAGGTGGCAGACAGTCGTCGGAGGCTGTAGATTGAGAAGAATCGGTCGCTCTCAATCTCTGCGAAGGCCAGGATCACATCCAGCTCAAGGCGACAACTTATTCCAGACACTCCTGACTAACACTAATTAATAGCCGCTGCGGAGCAGCGTTGGCACGAGGGGGGGGGAAAGGATGCCACCAAAGACGGACGCTTCTCCCAACAAACAGATGGAGAAGGTGACTTGAAGAAATGAGAGTCAAAGGAGCGGTCTGTAATGACGGCTCCCAGTAGGGCTATCCTACTCTGGCAAATCCCAGGATCGGGCTTTAGTGGCTGGAGTCTTTTTGCACGTCAGGTCGTGGAAGCACGGGCATCAGGGGGGGCAGCACCACTTGAGGCGGCTCTAGAACGCGGTAGGGGCCGGAGGTGTCACGTGAATTACACCACACATGCCTCAAGAAACTGGCCCTCCATCTCCGATCACGTGGAGCTGTCTCATGCCGGAGACTCTCGGAGATGCTGTCAGTGTCAGATTCAGGGCAGACCCCGGATTGCTGCCGTTGCTGCAGAAGACCAACTGGTAAACCAGCGTCGGGTGACGGTCAACCTGCCAGTCACATTGGACAACTCTAAGCGCCGTCACAGGTCATGACAAGTTTCCGCCGTTAATCGGGGCTCATTGGTTTGATTTGGCGCCGTGTATTTGGCGCCTGTCTATCTACTTCCTTCCCGCTGCTGCCTTGGCCGCGCATTCTCGAGATCAAGATCGTTGCAGGCGAAGGGCGCTGAGCACCACACACACACGCCACGATGGGTTCCGCAACTAACTTTGCCAAAGTATGTCCTCTCTCGAAATCTCCTAAATTCTTCCGAATTCCTTTTAACTGACACTCTCTACTTAGACCATCATAATCCCCGCCGTGATCTCCCTGACGCTTTACCTCCTGTTCTCCTTCGTGATCATCCCCTTCTTCCGTCGCTATCATCAACGATACTCCCAGTACCTTCCGCTCCATACTATCTCCGCACATACTACGACACTCCGGGATCGTATCGCGGATGCTTTGATGCGACGATTCCTCCCGTCGGTCTGGCGACAGTCACAATTCGACCAGCACGACAACATCAGTATATACGATGAAGAGGGAGAGATCATGGTAGGGATGGACATGGACCCTTCACGGCGAGAAGCGCTCGAGCGTCGACGGAGCACCGCCGGGGATGCGGAGATTCGCTTGAGTCGTGAACTTGAAGCGGGGTTCATGGATGATAGTGATGATGACGAGGGACATGCCCATACTCAGTCACGTCGCTGAGTTCCGTTCCTTCTGTACATATTACACTACCATGTAAAGGAACCATTGGCGTTTGGGATGGGTAATAGATATAATAGACATCTACTCTTGCTGAATTCACCTTTGCGGTAGTACAGATAGAGCTCAATGCATGTCCGTCTAGATAAACTCAATGGGCACTACTAAACTACCTGCATGCGTACATACCTAGACCAATGCATGCACTGATAATCACCACAATGGAATATCAACTCCATCCGTCCGGACTACCAACAACCCCCTTACTTCGTCTCCAACCCCACGTCGTAACTCAATTCTCCAACCCCCATCAATCAAATTAACCCCAAACAAACAACCCAAAGAAGAAGGTACTACTGTACATACCCTAATTCCCTTCACAAGCAACTACTAACTAACCTAGATCCCCCAGCCGAACCGATCCCGACCTAATCAAACCCATAACACAAGGGAAATAGAAAGAAAAGAGCAGATCACTAAACCAACAAGAGTATATCATCCGAAACTATACAAACTCAAATGTCACTATCAGAGCAAGCAATAATCATAGTTCTAAAAAGTCGTAATGTGTATACTAGTCTCCCACTAAATCAGAGGCTGGTCCGTGGTTCTGGCCTGCTAGTGCTGGGAAGTTTGCTGTGGTCAAGCTTTGTGCTTTGGGGGGGGATCGGCGCCCCACTATCTGCTTTTATCTTTTGCTTGGTGGGGAGGACTTTGTGGGTTTGAATATGGTAATTATGAAGAAAATTGGACTAAAATAACGAGCTGGTGTTCGAGTCGAGTCCATTGTTGAGTTTGCGGACTGGATTGATTTTGGTTTGGGGGGCTTTGATTGCTAGTCTGGCTGGAGTGCTGTGTTGGTGCTGGGATGATCGCGGGGAGAGTCCGAGGATTTACGAATCTACGTTAGTGAGACAAATTGGAAGAGTAAAAAGGTTTGAACAGTAAGAAAAAGTTTTGATTTCAGGTATCATAAGCTAATCATAACGGGAGGAAATAGGCCGAATACAGATCGATCCATGCATCTCATCATTATCGTCTTCCATTTAGGCCTTGTTGCGCTGACCGTAGGCCTTGGTAACGTAGTCACCGCCGTGGACAATGAGGTCCTGGGGGCGGTAGTCGTGGCGGCCGGAGAAGTAGCTCTCGAGGATGGCCTTGGTACCGTTGGCGTAACGGATCTGGGCATCGATGGAGGTACCAGACATGTGAGGAACCATGGCGTTGCCGCCGCCCCAGGGGCCCTGGACGGTGCGCAGAGGGTGGTCGGCGGGGGCGGGCTGGGGGAACCAGACATCACCACCGTATCCGCGGAGGTGGCCAGACTTGACGGCCTCGGCGACATCCTCCTTGACGACGATGGCACCACGAGCGGTGTTGACGAGCCAAGAGCCCTTCTTCATCTTGGAGATGAGCTCCTTGTTGAACAGACCGCGGGTCTTCTCGTGCAGGGGGCAGTTGATGGTGACAACATCGCACTGAGCGAGCATCTCCTCGAGGTCGTCGACGCGGCGGCAGCCGATCTCCTTCTCAACCTCGGGGGAAAGGGGCTGGTAGTCGTAGTAGAGGAGCTCCTTGCAGTCGAAGGGCTTGAGACGGCGGAGGACACGCTCACCGATACGGCCGACGGCAACGGTACCGACGACCTTGCCCTCGAGGTCGAACTCGTTCTTAGCGACAGCGGCAACGTCCCACTCGCCGCGGCGGATCTGCTCGTGGGCGGGAACGAAGTTGCGGACCAGGGTCAGGATGGTCATGACAACGTGCTCAGCGACGGAGACGACGTTGCAGCCGGTGACCTCGGCGACGGTGATACCGCCATTGGTCTTGTTGGCAGCGTTCAGGTCGACGTGGTCGGAACCGACACCAGCAGTGACGGCGATCTTGAGGTTCTTGGCCTTGGCCAGACGCTCAGCAGTGAGGTAACCGGGGTGGAAGCTATTGCGGGCAACCAGTCAGCTATTTAGTTCCCGTAGTTGCCAAGTTCCCTGGGCGGATAACTGTGGGTAGTGAAGTGGGTCACATACGGAGTGGTGATGATGACTTCAGCGTCGACGAGCTCCTTGTCGAAGGTCGAGTTCTCGCCCTCCTTGTCGGAGGTGGTGACCAGGGTGTGACCCTGCTCCTCGAGCCACTTCCTCAAGCCGAGCTCGTTCTCAGTGGTACCCAGAAGACCAGGCTGCTGCTTGGCGTGCTCACCGCCCTATTTGGAGATGGTTAGCATCTGGTGATTTGCGAGCAGAAAAAAGTGATGCTATTCGGGTACTTACGTCATAGAGGACCATAAGAATCTTGCCCTGTAGATTCGCGGAGGCGGTTAGCGTACGTGCACCAGCGATCGAGTTAGCCAGAGGAGCAGCCCGGAATGGGCTACTGGCCGCGGGCGCGAAGGCTCCCTTGGACAGAAGGGAGGTGGCAGGTCGCCGAAGTTGGCGGGAGAAAGAGCGCATAAATACCATTGTGAAGATAAGTTAAGTGGAATGAGATGAGATGATTTAGAGATGGGAGAGTTGGATGCTGGTAAGATACCTATGGCAGGAGGGTCAGCTTGAGGTTTAAATACATCCCGGATTTGGAGAACGTGGGAAGTAGTAGTAGTAGATGCATCGGATTGCAAAGTCGGGGAAGCCGAATGAGCGGCAAGCAACAACAGTAGCAACGGGCGAACAAGGGGAAGCGGGGAGACAGGAAAGCATGTGTGGAGAAGCAACTATGGATGGCAGGCAAGCATGCCACAGGGCAGAGCCGATGCCAGATGGAGGATGATGATGCAGGGGTGGCTTACCGAAAGCGGCGGTGGAGTTTCAAGAAACCTTGGAGAGGGATGAGCGAAGTATGATGAGGAGACAAGTTGTGATGCGATGAGATGCAGATGTAGAGAGATGAGGATGGAATGAGACTGACAAGGACGGGGAATTTAGCCAAATATATAGACTTCACTGGGTCCTCTTTTTTTATTCTGTACTATGTAAGTGAGCACCACAATTGCCCCCCCTCCATCCCCTCTTGGCCCATATTCAGAAAGGGTGCTCCATCCACATCTGCGATAGGATGGCGCCAAATCCGGATAGGAGGGCACCAAGCAGGCAGTAGTAGCACAAGGCCATCATCTGGGTCTGACCCAGCAAGTGGCAGGAGAGGGGGGGAATAGTTTGGGACCCTCAAATCAGCCCCGAGAGTTGGAGCAAGGAACTGGAACCCCACCAGCCAGCAATTGAAGTTGGGCGATCGTCCGGGTTGGCGGCAGTTTCGCATCGGCACGGACGACGTTTCGGTCCAGTTGTTGTCTCCGCACGCGGGACAACTACTACTGTAAACTAGTCTAGTAGCACATAGACAGCCGCGGATGGTCGGATGGCTCTAGGTTAGGTTTGTATAGATCGATACCGTCGAAAGCTTGAAATCCACACCTCGGGCAGTTGACACATTACGGAGTATACTAACTAGTTAGTATGTATTGAACTACTAGGCTACTTAGTAAATGAGCCTTAATTGGAAAAGGCAAGGAGTGGTATCATAGCGGTAAAGCAACTGAAAACCAATACAACAATACTATTGATTGTATAACCCCAATCTCAGTCACAGATTAATTGCCATCCCAACATATGTCCTACTGCAGGGGATTGCCCACGGCCATGCGGGGTTTCAGAAAACTAGAAACCATCGGGAAAAAAGAAATGGCATGGCATGCTTAAAGGGCTCGTGAGGGGAACCCGAGCCTGGGCCGAGAGTGCCTGCAGGGCCGGAGGTATGTCGGGCGTAGAGTTTCCATGGGGAAACGGAAAACCTGCCAGCCTGTC